CAAGACCTACACGTGGGATGGCGCCAACCAGTACTGCGGCAACCTTGGCTCCGGCTGGCAGGGCATCAGCATCGGGACTCACCAAGAGGACAGTCTCGTCAGGAAAGCGATTATAGAAGGTGACACTTTAAGCTAATCCTCTCTGTTGTGTTGTGGGATTCAGACCCGAACCTTGAAGGCTCGAGACTCGAGTCCACGAAGGTATGAGTGTGCAAGTTTGCTAAATGCGTACATTTTTATCTTCTTTTAGATAAGCTACCATGGATTTGGACCTCAGGTCATATCAGGAATCACGGCTTCACCTGGGCTTCAGGTGAAGAATTCGTGGGTCTGAACTGGTCTCACACCGGCGGGTAAGTGCCTCGAGGCTTTTCCTTTTACTCAGACACACCCAGAGGCTAAACTTTGCTGAAAACGCTTCTAACTTGTACCAATGTGATCACCAGGAATCATCGACCGCAACCAGACAACCGAGAGGGGAACGAGCACTGCCTGGGGGTTCTCAACGACTTCTACGACGACGGCGTCAAGTGGCACGACATCGCCTGCCACCACGACAAGGCTATCATCTGCGAGCGCAAAGTCCGAGTCCACGGATGAACACAAATACACATGCATACAGGAGCACATACACACTGCTTTCATGTAGCATGATCACGTCCATATGATCTAGAGTAATGACTATTCATTGTATTTATTCCTATTTATATTTGACTATAGATGAAGACGATCTTTTTCACATAAATATCCTGACCAACTGTAGCAGCATTTTTTTTTCCAAGATTTTGACGAAGAAGTTACTTTTCAATATAAAAAACAATGAGTACAGAGAGTGAGGCCCCAAGAGACGACAGACCTCAGCTCCAATGCCTGATCAGCAGAGTTAAGGGGACCGCATTAGAAGAGCAGAAGGGACACCATTAGAAAGGATGAAGGGGAGCCATTAGAAAGGGTGAAGGGGAACCATTAGAAAGGGTGAAGGGACACCATTAGAAAGGGTGAAGGGACACCATTAGAAAGGGTGAAGGGACACCATTAGAAAGGATGAAGGGGAGTCATTGGAAGGTCTAAAGGAAGATCAAATGGAGGAGTTGAAAGAGTACTATTAGAAAGGCTGAAAGAGGGGTCGATTCTGGTTTATTTTTAGGGCGTAAACGGGTTTGAATCCCGCTCTACCTAGATATACTTTTTAAGTTCTTTGTTTAAGTTTATGTCTAAACATGTGTCTACAATTTACAGGATAATCTACATATCTATATTGCATTATACCCAGCAGCATAATTAATTATAAACAAACTCTTTCCATTTCCTCAATGATGTATTAGATAGTTTATTATTGCAGTTTGCGGGCCAGGAATGAGTGAAGGAGTGGATGTATGTGTGTGTTTGTCTGCATATTCATCACCATTTTCGCTGACTGTACATTCACAGAACTGCTCATCAAGACATCCCTACTTGACTTCAACATTGATATTGGATAAAAGAAAGAACAAAACACGAAGCGACATTCGAAGTTTAATCGAGTGAACCAACGAAGATTACACAGAGAAAAATAAAGAAGAAAAAATAATTCTTTGCAAGTCAATACTCTGGGAAAATAATACATTTTGCTAACCTGACGAAGTTACAGATCATTCTACTGTAGATACGGCAAGTTCATTCATATTACACTTTCTTCCCTTTTCTTTTTCTTTTTTTTCTCTCTCTCCTCTCTCTCTCTCTCTCTCTGTCTCTCTCCTTCTCTCTCTCCTTCTCTCTCTCCCTCCCTCTCTCTCTCTCTCTCTCTCTCTCTCTCTCATATTGATTCCATTAGAGTATTTTTGTAGGAAGTATATTTTTGTTATAAATGATATAGTATTTTACAAAGGCTCTCGGGAAAGACATTATTGGCCATTTTTTTCACTGCTCAAGTTAAGAAAATATCTCCAAACAATATTGTGTTACAGTTACGTAAATAAGGATCGCTTAGCATTGAAAAAAAAATCTATCAGTCTATCTATATCTATCTATCTACCTATCTATCTATATCTATATCTATATCTATATCTATCTATCTATATAAATGGAACAGCTCGCATCGGCGGTTGAGGATTTGTCGGTGTGGTAATGATGGTTTTAGTTAAAGGCCGACTGACTTTATTTAGTTCTTCTGAGTATCTTCGAAATGTGTTATGATTAATATTGAATGCACTAAAGATGTGAAAAAAAGTTCCGTTTTTGATACCATAATATATTACCATATTAAAAAAAATAATGTTGAAGCGTGGAGTGCATAATTATTTTTAGTTATACCTTCATCTGCTAAAAGTCGTTTTCTGTAACATTAAGAAAACTGTTATAAACTATACGGGTAACTTACATAAAAGAAAAAATATTAACTGCAAAAATGCCTAACGAATAGACGGATCCTAACCAAACCTAACTTAATCCAACATAACATATCATCAGTCTAGCTTCACCTGATATCAGTATACGAAGTCATATGTTAAGTTTAAAGTATGGATTAATAAGTAAGTACACACACGTTTATGTGCGCGATTACTTAGTTATCCAAATTGTGTGTGTGCGTGTGTGTGTTCTGTATTTGTGTATACGTCTGACATTGTGTGTGTATGTCTCAGTGTGTATGTGCACTCACGTGTGTGATGCTCTTCGAAGGTACTGCACTGTACTTATGCAAAAATTGTCAAACCAGTAAATGATAGTTTCCCTAAGATTACCCGAAGAAATTTTCCAAAATTACTCTTAATACCACGTCTGTAACGAATTAATTAATAATGATCATGAAAAAAAAGTTATTGCATGCGATGAAGCTACATAAGTTATTTATAATAAATATTATGATTCACACTATGACATAACATTCACACTATATCACATATCACTATATAATATCCACACTTTATCATAACATTCACAATAATCACACTAACCATTGCATTTGTAATATTCATACTACATCATAACATTCACAGTCTAAAGCAAATAATTTTCACATCATATCACAACATTCACAATATTCCCACTATATCATAACATTCATAATGTTCATGAAGCAGACATCCTGGACACAATGAGATTTGTGTTTGACGGGTGTGATGTTAAGCACCGGGGTCCAGACTAACTGTTGTTTCAGATTTGCTTTTTACTACCACGCCACCTCTAGGATTGTGTCCTTCCCTCCACAACCCCCTTGCATCTATGAATAAAATTCCCTCAAAGATTTTAAAGAAAAAATAAAATGTTTTATTAGTGTAAAGGAAAACAGTCACAGTAGGAAATCAAAATAAATCGCAACGTTTCGAACAATTCACGAGTTCCTCATGAGACAACAGCCTCGTTCGTAATATCAATTTTATAGAAGAAGTAGGAAGATTCAGGTCAATAACCTTTTTTCGACGCTCTTTTATTCAGTGTAAATGTTGCGGTCTACCGCAAACCAACCCACACCGCTATTTCCCTTCAACGAATCACCCGTTGTATGTAAACAAGTGTCTCGTAAATGTTGCATATAGGATTTGTGATATTGAATTCATTGATCGGGAGCTCGATGTGATTTTTTAAGCTTTTTCAAGTTAGGATATGGGCAACAAATGGCAGTGCTAGTAGCCTATTAGTTATTCCGTCCCTCGATAAAAAACAAAATATTGAAAGGAGCTGGAATTGATATTTTTACATATCTCAACACTTAAGTGATGCATTGGTGAACCACAATGCGGTCAGCGGTGTTCTTGATAAATCTCCAGGTATTTACACTATTCCGTGTAAGGAAGCGTTACATTACATTACTGTGTTTGTGTTCATATGTTCTTAGTCTTTGTTTTGAGTAAGACTTAGTCACATTATTATTACAGTTCTCATTATTTAACAATACTCTCGTTAAGAGAATGACAAGCATAATTAGAGAAATTCTTGCTGTTTTAGAGTAAAATATCATCTATATCTTTCTTATTCGTTATTTGGATATGTATAAGGTTATATACATAAAAATCTTTATATGTAATGTGTAGATGATAATTATCTATGTATATAACCTAAATCTCTGTTATTTGTGTCATCTAAATCTTTGATATTTATGTAATTTATATTATACCATGTTTTCCTTATATATGTGTGCAACATCTATGATATCAATATAAATATCATCTATGTGTATAATCTATGTCTTTATCGGATATCTAAATCATATCCCGAGCTTTACTTGTCACTTCTATATAACATTCATATCTGTCCACATATCCAGTTCTCTGTGTCAATTTACATCAGTCTATAGACTTTTACAGCTATCTTTCTATCTAAAACATACGTATACTTTTTCTTATCTTTTCTATATATTTGTTATATATATACCAGTCGTTTTTTTTCATTTTTAGATTCATTGGCACTTGAAGTAGATGGTTGAAATTAAGTGGTATTTCTGATTGAATGATTACCGTCTTTGGGTTCTATAGAAATTTTCATAACCGTTTTTTGGAAGATGCTTGCGTGTTTCCTTTATCATTATGCTTATTTTGTGTCTTTTTCAATTCTGCTTATATATATATATATATATATATATATATATATATATATATATATATATATATATATATATATATATATATATATATATATATATATATATATATATATATATATATGTATGTATATATGTATATATACATGTGTGTGTGCGTGTGTGTTCATATCTGTTTATCTATATATATACCTGTACATATATTAAATATTTATGCTCATCCCTTACGATCGATTAGACATTCTGTTTGGTGCTACGTCTCCATCCGTCACATTACCGCCCTGTGCAAATCGTCCTCACCCACTTCCTTCTCACTCGTTGTCTTCAGTCAAACCTAATTACTATTTCAATAGTTTTGCAGTTTATATTTGTATACGTTTCGTATAGTGTCATGCTAATCTGTTAAGTATACTATTGATGGCTTATAAATGTTGTGAAAGTGAGATTTTCATCATCCAGGACAAAAGATGAAAAATACATATGGTGGTGATATGTGATTTTATTTTCTCTTTCTAATTACACGTGCATATCCCGGTCTCTTCATCTGCCATTTTGTCATCTATTCACAGTGATGAATCTCATCTAAATCTTAAGAAAAATGAAGTGTTAAAGAACGAGAGAGAAGTGTTCGATCCCCTTCGTTCACCTATAGACGCGAACGAAAGAGGAAAGTGTTCAATCCTGTTCCTTTACCCGTAGACGCGTCCTTGGCGTTCGCAGATGATGGGCTTCTCGTGGTGGCAGCCGACATCGTGCCACTTGACGCCGTCGCCGTAGAAGTTGTTGAGGACAGCCAGGCAGTTCTCGCTCCCGTTCTCGTTGTTGTCTGGTTGTGGGTGGCCGGTGCTGGGGGTTGGAGGAGGAGGCGGAGGGTTAAAATGGGGGTAGAGGAGGGGGAAACGGGAGGAGGTTGGGGAAGAGTGAAGGGTGGGGATGAAGAGGGGAAGGGCGGGAAAGAGAGGAAGAGGAAGAGGAGAAGAGACGAAGAAGGAGGAGGAGGTGGAGGGTTAAAATGGGGGGTGAGGAGGTGGGAACGGGAGGAGGTTGGGGAAGAGGGAAGGACTGGGATGAGGTGATGAGGAGGGGAGGGCGGGGAAGAGGAGGAGAGGAGAAGAAGGAGGAGGATACGAATTACGAAGGGGAAGAGGAGAAAGAAAATGGGGAAGAGGGGTAGAAAGGTGGAGGAAATGGAGGAGCAGAAGCAGGCGTAGGAGGAGAAGAAAAATAGAAGAAAAAGGAAATGATTAAGAAATAGAGAGGAAGAGGAGCATTAAGTATAAGGATGGGGTGGATGAAGAGGAGATAAGGGAGCATGAGATGTAGGCCAAAAAGGGTGGGAAAACGAGAAAGAAAATGGAAGATTATTACGAGAGAGATCGAAAGGACGTATAGACGTCTGGAATAACTTAGTCCCGTATTATGACCACCAAATAAATAAAACAAAAACAAAGGGATTTAACAAATCAACAAATAAATAAGAGAAAAAATAATAAACATACATGAAAAACAAAGAAAGAGAAAGAAAAAAGACATCAATACAGAAAACCTAAATTAAAAACACTAAAATATAAATACAAGAAGAATCCTTAAACAACCCCGGAGCAATCCAAACGCCACACTTACGCTCCGGTGTGAGACCAGTTCAGGCCGACGAACCGAGCTCTGGAGGGCCAAGCGAAGTCGTAACCGCTGCGATAACCTCCCGTCCAGATGTATTTCAGTCCGTCTGAAAAATGAATGAAGGAAATGAACTTGAAAAAAAGACTTCTCTGTATCTAATCTAGATGTATCTCAGTGCCTGAGCGTTGCGTAAAAAATATATTTATATGCCTATGAATGCTTCAGAATGTGAGCAGAAACCTGAGAAAAAAATATGTATTTCAGTCTGTATAAAAGTTCAATCAAGAATCTATAAGTGTTTCAGAATCTGGCCAGAAACCTTAAAAAAAAAATCTTCACACGAGGACACCATAACAATACTCCCCCCCCGAGGACGCAGGGCACGAGACAGACCTCCTAGGATGATGCTCCTGACGAACCCGTCCTCCTCGTGGGTCTCGATGCTGATGCCGTTCCAGCCGTGGCCGAGGGAAGAGCAGTACTGGATGGCGTGTTGCCACTGGTACTTCCGGCCTCCGTCGTGGCGCCAGGAGAAGTGGTAGTCGCTTCCGCCCTGGCTGTAGTGCACCTGGAAGGGAAAGGGAGGGAGTGGAGGGATGTAAATGTTGGACAGGGAACGATGTGGAGGGAAGGGAAAGGAAGGAGTGGAGGGAAGTGAGCATTAGAATGGAAGGGAAGGGAAGGAGTGGGGGAAAGTGAACCTTAGAAGGGAAGGGAAAGAAGGAAAGTGAACGTTGGAGGGGAAGGAAATGAGTTGAAGAAAGGAAGAGAAGTGAAAGTTGGTGAAGTGACGATAATGAGGATCTTTAAGGAAAGTTCCGAGTTTTTTTTTTATCACTAAATAACTAGTAATGATTCTAAAAGCTGGTTTGCCTAACATTCAAACCGTCAAGCTAACTGACTGGGGGTAATCTTATGAAAGTAAAAGAAATGACTTATCGAGCGCAAGATTACCACCAAAAATCATTCCCACCGCCATGTACATGGGTCATGAACAACCTTTAACAATCCAAACACTAAAAAAAAAAAACTCACCACAGAATTGCCACCGATAGGATGCTGTTGCCCCACGTGAGGCACGGGTCCGGTCACAACGGGAGCGAAGGAGACATGACCACCGCCGCTGCTTCCGTAGTACTGACTGGCAGCCACCGCCACCACGGTTAGGATCACGAGGAATTTCATCTGGAACGGAATTAATGTTAAAAGACGAAGCGAAACTGAAACAACATTTTAATATGATTAAAAGAAAAATAGTGTAGGTTTTGTTCTTTTTTTTTTATCCTAATTGTGTGAAATTAAAAACAAGCACAGCATAGGAAGAGAAAGAAGAGGAAAATGATGGGCTGGATCCTGCGTGAATG